GGTACACTTATTCATACTGCTTATTGCAGTCAGTGTTTGGGGTGTTTAGCCAAAGCAAACGGACCTCGAGTCCTGTCTGTGATGGACAGACAACTGACTCCATGAAATTGAATCAGGGTTCTGGGTGTACACATGCTGCTCTACCAGGATGGACCCAGCAAACCTGGTATAATTATAGCCTCACCCATGCCACGCTATGTGCACGTGACGCAAGTGGTTAGAATTTAAATGAAGAAAGGCCAACCAGAAACCAAGCGCTGCAACAACTGCGATACCTCAAACCCGGCTTCCATAAAATCTAATTTTTCCAGCTGATAATTTGCATAATCGTCAATCAAAATACTTTTTTTTTTAAAAACGGTGCAATTTGGGTTTTCTTTTGTGAAGTCAGGAAAGTATAGTATAAAACACATTCGTAACAATGTAGATATCTGGAAATTAAGTAATTAAGAACAAACACATTACATATTACATGCAGCTCATACTGTGGGCATGAGCCTGCTGGTTCTGTCCAGACAGGTGCTGAGGTTAATGTGTGAAAGAAGCTTTAAATATAGCCTGCCATAAAGGTGCTATTTTTAGCTGCTTGCTCCATCATTGTATTTGGTTGCAAAGCATCAGAAGTTAGTTTTCCAATCATGATTTCTTGAAACTGTTTTATTATGAATGAACTGCAGATAAGCGTCGACACTGGAATTAAAATGACCCATTTCCCATTCCTAGACCAAGTGACACAATTTGCCCTCACCAATACTGAGAGTGTAGCATTACACGCAGCTGCAGCTTGACACTGTGCTGTTCTGACATGGGTCAGTGCAGCCAGCACAGATTCCTTTCAAAGGCTCACGCTGTTTCAAAAGTGTGTGCGAGCCTGCAGATTAATGCTCACTTGTTTGGACGTATTGAAAGAACAAAACACCAAAATTCCAGAGAAATGTAAGCAGCCATAACCGGTGAGCCCAAATCATAAAACATCTTGAAATTCTCATAACTATAATTTTGGACTAGAAACATACTTCCCTTCGGTTAGCATGTGCCCAAACACGATAGGTGACTATTTCTGTAATATGATGGTGATTCCAACTTGTTGTGACGCTGGAGGAACTCCATGAGCACCGTTTGTAGAAGGCAGCTTATGTGATGTAACCGCC